TCCTATAGCTCAGTATTTTAACCGCAGAATTTTACTATATAAACTCCCCTGACTGAGGCCATGGCTTCTCACCATGTAGACTGAACGCCAGCATCAGAATCGCGCGAGGTGCTTGCTGCCCCAGGTTGTTCGGCTACAGCTCAGACTACAGAGTTGAAACCTTGGCCTGGGCTGTGCTCTGGTGCCCACTAACCACCCGCTGGACGGGTCCCAAGAGCCGTAGGTGGTGCTGTGAGGCTGTGCCTGAACACCACGGGAAATGCCGTTTCCACACGGGGCGGTGTGGACAGCTTGTTGCTCGTTTCTAAACCTCCCGCTGAACAATCTGAGGAAGAAAACACGCCCAGACACGAGTCCCGAGGGCAGGACGCTGGGCGCACGTTTACCTTTGAGAATCAGTCCCCGGGGCCCCTTGCTTACCTCCAGGGGCGTGAAACTATAGTTCTCAAGGAAGGAGAGGCCAATGACTGGGACCAGAAGAAACTCCAGGCGGAACGTGTCATTCTCGCTGTCGAACGTTTTCCGAAATTTCCCATAGATCATGTACACCGTGACATAGGCGCAGAGGAGGAACACCAGCTGCAAAGGGGAGACACGGGGGCATCGATGAAGTCATTTCCCAGCCACGTGCCTGGGCTTCAAAGCCACCGTGAGCTGGGACCTACCCAGCCTCACGGCTAGTGCTCTGCCTTAAGGTGGAAGAGGTGAAATGGGTTTTCAATTTCTCTTTGGTCCAGTAGCCTAGAACCTGAAGCTAATGACCCTTGTTAGTAACGTCATGCTTCTCATTGGGACTGACAGTGCTACGGTGAGGACTCAGAGGTGCCCAGGCCAAAGGCCAGGACTGGTCTTTGCAGGAGGATTCCTCAGTGGCATCACAGGGCACTTTTAAAACCGGAGCTTTTAGTGACTTGTGGGCACTCTGACTTCCGCATCAGTGACTTGTGGGCACTCTTCCACAAGGACTAACACCCCTCAGCCCATCGGTCACTGCTCCTTCAGAAACGTTCTCTTTCTAATTAGCAGCAGCTGTCCTCCAGCATGGAATGATCGTAGGATCTGGCCTCAAACCTTCTAGGCCAGAGGTTCTCAAACTTGGAGATGCATCAAAATCACATAGTTGACTGCCCCTTCACTGCCCAGTTTCTGCTTCAGTAGGTCTGAGTGGGCCTGAGGATCTACATTTCTAGCGAGTTTCTATGTGATGCTGCTGGTGCTGGTCTGGGACTACACTGGCCTAAAGGGTTATTTGTAGTGTCCGACTGGTATGGCTCGGTGGTTGAGCGTCAACCCATGAACTAGGAGGTCACAGTTCAATTCCCCATCAAGGCACATTGCTAGGCTGCAGGCTGGATTCCCCACTAGGGGGCGTGCAGGAAGCAGCCGAGTGACGATTCTCATGGATGTTTCTCTCCCTCTCCCTCTCTAAAATCAATAAAAATATATATTAAAAAAATAAAAATAATAAGAGTGTCAGCCTGGGCACCAAAAGGTCACGGGTTTGACCTCAAGTTTCGGTTAGGGTTGTGCAGGAGGCAACCAATCTATGTGTCTCTCTCATAGATGTCTCTCTCTCTCTCTCTACCTCTCTCTCTCCCTCTCTTTCTCTCTCTCGCTCCCACCCTTTCTCCCTCTCTTCCACTCTTTCTAAAAATCAATGGGGGGAAAAATATCCTTGGGTGAGGATTAACAAAAAGAACAGGCAAAAGTAATCCATATAGTAGAAGTCACAATAGTGGTTACCTGGGGCAGGAGCAGGGGCCCTCCCTCCCTTCCCACCTCCCTTCCACTCTCTAAAAAGCAATGGGAGAAATATCCTTGGGTGAGGTTTAAAAATAAACAAAAAAACAATTCAGGTTATTTCATTGAAGTCTTTTCTCACCAGAATGAGGCACACATACTCTGTCACCATAGCTAAAAATACTAGCTGCTGCCCATGATCATATGTTCTGTAAATGTTTGTGTAACAGTGTCTTCCCTAGGAGGGAATTCCTATAAGAGGGTCCTGTTGACTTCTGAATTCCCAGCCCCTAACTCAGGACCCAGCACAGAACAAATGCCGGAATGAGCGAATGAGTCACGGGCGTGGTGATCACTTCTTTTTTCTTTTTTTTCAATCTTCACCCGAGGATATTTTTCCATTGATTTTTTTTTAGGGAGAGTGGAAGAGAGAGGGAAAAACAGAGAAATATCGATGTGAGAGAAACACATCGATTGGTTGCCTCCTGCACACGCCCCAACCAGGGCCCAGGCCAGGGAGGAGCCTGCAACCCAGGTACGTGCCCTTGGCCGGAATCAACCTTAGATCCTATGGTCCGCAGGCCGATGCTCTGGCCACTGAGCCAAACCAGCTAGGGTAGGTGATCACTTCTTCATGTCACAAAAAATGTGGAACCTGACCTCTTCACAGTTCCTAGACCTCAGGAGCCACGCTAAGGGCTGGTGTGCTGGGCACAAGTCAGACCCTTGGGCAGAGAAGAAACGGCACCACTTGTTGTGTTGAATTTAAAGAGACAGTGATTTCAGGCCCTCACACTCAAGTTCGCACCCACAGCAGCCTCCTCCCCCAGTCCTAGGAACAAGATGCCTGGGATCCCAAAGGGGCATCTCTGATAATGGAGGAGAAAGGGAAGCCACTTTGCTTAGATAGCTTGTGGGTTTTAGGCACTTTACATTTGCTCTCTCATGGCATCTTCACAGTAGCCCTGCCAGACAAGGTAGGATTCCCTCCCATGACGCCTTTCTTCCTTAGACAGGACTCAAACCAGGTCCGCCTGGCTCCACAGCCTGAGTTCCCCAGCGTAGTCTCATGGTGTGGGGGGCCTCCGCAGGCACCCCCATTGCCCCGACCCCCCTCACCTTCATGACTGTGTTGTAGATAGAGATGAAGTTGGTGAACAGGTCCAGGTACCTGGTAGTGAAGACGAGAGCGAAAAGGATCTGGCTCTTCCCAGAGATGCCTGTGGTCGGAGGGGGACAGGAGACCGTGAGCACACAGACATCTAGGCCCATGTGCACGCGAGAAGCCCGCGCCTGAGCTGGAGAGGCCTCCAGAGTGACCCGTCTCCTTTAGTGCAGACGCCCTGTGCCGGCGCTGCGCTCTCCCGAGAGCGGGAAACACCCTTCTCGCTGGGTCACCTGAGTCTCTGCTCCTTTCGTGAGGTTGCAATCTGTCTCCCAACCTCCAAAGAGAATGAACACTGAGTCCCCAGTGCCCGCATGGGCCTGCCTGGGTTCTTGCTCTGGAAACGGTGTCGGTGGTGTGAGGGGGACCGGTGGGGGAGAGAAAGGGGGCGTCCCGAGGATTCTCTGTGCTCCACCCCCAGAGCCCCACGGACAATCCCCAAAGCTCTGTCTGTGGAAGAACAACTCACTCACTTGACAAGGTTGACTCGCCAGGGAGACCAGAGCAGGTGGAGGAAGGCACGGGGCCAGGGGAACATTCTATTTGTTTTTCCAAATCCAAAAATGTGAAAAAGCCTGTTTTTCTCTCGTCGTAAACGCTATGACTATTTTCACTCTTTGTAAAACAAAGATCAGCATGTACACAAAGCTGTACACTCAAAGGCAGCCATCACCTGCGTCCCAAAGCCTCCGCCCGCGCCCTTCCCAGCCTTTCCCGGCTCCCGTGTTGTGCACACACAGGACACGCACAGATGCATCGAGGGGACAAAACTGGAGTCCCACCTTCTATGCTGTTTCCTCACCTGCTTCGGCCTCTTTGTTTTTAGCTTTTTATTTTAAAAATAATCTCGGCTCTCCAGAAGAGCTGCGAAGACAGGGCCAGAGTTCCCACACGCCCTTCCCCGGCTTCCTCCCGGCTGCGTCTGGCATAACCACAGAGCTTGACCGAAGCGAAGCCACTCACGCTGGGGGCGCACCGACCCAACCCCAGGCTCTATTTGGGCCTTAGCAGTTCCGCACAGACACCCTCCTCAGTTCCAGGATCTGATCCAGGAACCGAGGCTGGCGTGCTTCCTGGGCCTCTGTGGGCCACTTTGGTATATCCTGGAGACGGCTCCAGAACCAGGGGAGCAGAGGCCCTGCCCCCCTTTTCCCGCACTCTCTCAAGCCCACACCAGCGTGGAGCCCACCACACCACACTGGTCCATGGGCCCACCTTTCTGCATCCAAAGGTCAATTCTGTCTACTCTCCCACTCTACCCTGAGCCACATCTACCCTGAGCCACTGTCCACCCCGCTGGCTTCTCATGGCTCTGGCTGCTCCTGTCCTCCTCCCACCTTATCCTTGCCACCCCCACCCCTCCTCTCTGTCCCTCTCCCATCCCGTCCCTCCCCCATGGCAAGGACACTCCCGCTTCGGACTCTTCCGAGTTCTGACCTATGTATTCCCGCCTGACCGAACTCATCGTCTCCCCGGGAGCCCCCTCCTTTTCCTGTCTCCCCTTCATAATGCCACCACATCCCCTCCACGCTCCAGCCAGAAAACCAAGAGCCAGCCTGGAGTCTCTCTCCCCTTGGTCCCCCCCGCCCCCACTGCTTCTGAGCTCCACGGCTCCCACTCCATGCCCCTCACTCAGCCAGGCCCCCGCCTCAGTGACCCCCAACTGCTCTTCCCATGGGCTCTTAGCCGCCCCCAGAGCCCTTCAAAGAAAGAACCAAATCCTCATCATGGCTCAGGAAGGCCTGCCGGGCTGCCTCCCTGGTCCCACATCTGATCTCTCCTCCTCTCTCCCTCCCTCCAGCCACGGTGACACTCGTGGATTTTATCCTAAATGTGATGGGACAACTGGGGAGTCGGGCACCGAGAAGTGACATTACCTGATTCAGGCCCTGGTTCCTTCCTGCGCCTGAATGTGCCTGATCTGACTGTTCCTCTGGTGATGGACAATTCGGAGACAGGGAGATATATATATTTGTTAATCCTCACCCGAGGATACTTTTTTTCTTTGATCTTTGATCCCCACATGTGCCCCTGGAGCCAGGGGTAAAACCTGCAATCCAGCCAGGTACATGCCCTTAACCAAGAATCGAACCCGTGGCCGAGACCGGTTTGGCTCAGTGGATAGAGCTCTCTCTCCCTTCCTCTCTGTAGAAAACTCAATGAAATATATTAAAAAAAAAAAAAGAATCGAACCCGTGACTGTTCAGTGAGCGGGCTGTCACTCTAACCACTGAGCAACACCAGCAGGGCGAGAGGAATATATTTGTATTGATTTCAGAGAGGAAGGGAGAGGGAGAGGGAGAAACATCAATGATGAGAGAGAATCATTGATTGGCTGCCTCCTGCTCGCCCCACACTGGGGATCAAACCTGCAACTTGGGCCTGTGCCCTGACCGGGAATCGAACCGTGACCTCCTGGTTCGTAGGTTGATGCTCAACCACTGAGCCACGCCGGCCGGGCGAGAGGAATATTTTTAATGACTGAGGATGAACACCGCTGAAGCCCCTAACATTCCAGAGAGCACTGGGCCCACGTGCCAGCTTTCCTACCAGCACAGCCTGGCAGGCCAGCCTCACAGTCCCCATCTGTAAAATGGGCGCCTTCACACCTACAGGCAGGACTGATTCCATGGGAACCTGAGTGCCTCCTGGGGGCTGGCACTGCAACAGGGTGGGAACGAGCCCGCCGGGGGAGGCGATCCTGACAGCTCTGGGCTGTGCCTGTTGCTAAGCCATCTCACTGAGCCCTCAGAGGCCTTCTGGAGGCCCTCAGCCCCACTAGAGGGCCCAGGAAGCAGCCTGGTGGGGGTGCGGGGCCACCCCGCTCACACGGCCTCCCCCAGCCCTCCCCTATCGCCATCCTCACTGCCAGGCCCTGGGCTGCACCACACCGTCCGCAGTGCTGGGGGCCCTGGTGGTCTGCAGTGCCATGGTTGCCACACTCTTTTGAGAGCAGGGCGTCATTTCCACCGAAGCAAGCGGGGCATGGAGACCCGGGACATGGAAGGGAGCCGAGTCAGGGCCTGGCCCGAGTCCCTGAGGGCACCTCAGCACAATGGGGCACCGCCCAGGCGCAGCCCTCCCTCCCAATCGACAGATGGGAAAACCGAGTCTCAGGTCACCCCCTGAGTCAGGGGCAGGCAAGGAGCAAGCCCGTCTCCTCTGCCTCCAGGGCTGAGTCAGCGGGGTCGCACCGGGCCCTGCTCTCGGGGCTGACAGGGCTGGGATGGGGGCACCTCACCCTCACATACTCAACAGGCCTGTGCCAAGCCCCCTCTGGCACGCACAGGCTGTCCTTTCTCTCCCCTAACAAACCGGGTCATTCACTCAGTTGCTACTGTTGCTTATTAATGGTCTCCCACGGCTAGAAAGTCCGCTTCCTCAGCCCAGGATCCAGCCTGTGCTGTATGCCAGGGACCTAGCACAGTGCCCGGCAGAATGGGCTGGAGAACAGCGCCCCCTCCTGGTCATGGTTGCACACCCAGCCCAGAGTCCTCCACGGAAGCGCAGGGACAAGTCCAAGCTTGGTTCTGCCCATCACTGACACCTTCTGACCCCAAACTCCCCTCTCAGCGTTCCTGGCCCCCTTCCCCCGAGCGCGAGCCGTGAGTGCCAATCTCTCCAGAAACCCCAAACCCGAACGGCCTCCCAGTCCAGAATGCCTCCCTCTGCGGTGACCCTCCCATCAGCACCCACCCAACCTCCCAGGCTGGTGGCCTCCACGCTGCTCTCCCTGCCTCCGCTCTTGGACCCTCTGCACAGCTTTCAGGTCCCCTTCTGAGCACCCTCCCTTGCTCCCAAGCCTTCCATGGCTCCCAGTACCAACTCCCTAGCTTGACAAACAAGACCCTGTCGCATATAAACCGCCCTCCTTCCAGACTCGCCTCCCAGACCACCCCCAATTGGGCTGCTCGCCCCTCCAGAGATGTGCCTGCCCTCTGTGACCTCTGGACTTTTGCACCCCGTGTCCCCACGCAGCACACCCTTCCTCCAGGACCCAGCACAGAGCTGCAGCTTCAGGAAGCCTTCAGGGCTGGCCCTCTGCCTCCCAGGCCCCCACAGGAAGCCCACCCTCATCTCTGCATCTCCTCACCCCAGTGCCAAGCACAGGGCGGGCCGGCAGGACCCTAGCAGACAAAGATGGCGGCAGGAGGCCTGGGCAGCCTCTTCCAGCACTGGGTCGGCTTGGCCACCGCCAGTCCAGCCCTGAAGCTCCTCCAAACCCCCAGCAGGGCAGCCAGCCTACAGGGCAAAAGAGCGGGCCTCCCGCCCTCCGCAGGCGGCTGCTCAGGGGCAGCTCCGTGCCCACCTGGGCTGGGCTTGCCCTCCTGCCACATCACAGACGCCTGTGCCCACCCAGGCGGGGTGCGGGGACAGGGGGGCACTGGCGGGGGTGGAGGGGGCAGGAGAGAGTGGGGTGGAGAAGGAAAGAGGAGACAGCGTTGGGGACCACCGTGTTCAAACCTCCTCTGCCCCCACCCTCCCCTCCCACCCCGGCCTGAGGGAGGGAAGAGAGAACAATGGCCTCGGTGCCGGCTCCCGGGAGCAAAGGGAGTCCCTGGAGGCAGAGGGGTGTCACCGCCCCCCTACCCCCCTCTTCCAATGAGCAGTGGCAATGCGGGGGTGGGGGGCGTGAAGGCGCGAGCCCACCCTCCCTCCATCACCTCCGGGCGCCCTTTGACAGGGACAACTTGACAGTATCTTTGGAAGCTGAGCTCTGGACACCTTCCCGCC